AAATATAGTTTCCAGAGAAAATATTTAGAGAATTCTTCTATCGCAGTAAAGAAGAATTTTATTTGCAAGGTTAGTAATTTAAAATGTAAAAATTTACCTGATAATAATACAATTTTTCCGATAAAAACGTAGTACATTCTTTTTTGTATACAGTTTTTCTAGTTTTTAAATCTAAAATTAACAATATCCAAGACCTCGTTTGCATTTTTCCGATATAATACACTTCATATGTAAATTATTCATATGTAAGATATTACAAAACTGAAATATTACATAAAAAGTCCACAGACATTTTGTTAAAAAATTGTAACGGAATAATACAAAACGTGAAAGATATGTTTTTTCCCCGTAGTTCGATACAAGCAAGGAGAAATATTTCATGCTTATATTGTTTGTTAATATAATCTGTCTAATTTGCATAATGCATAATTGTGTACTGATGATACTATTTTACAAAGATCTTGGTAGAGATTATTTAAGCGCTAATTCAAATACAATCATAATCAAATGCATAAATAGCTAATTCCAAGGCTAGAAACAATCGTAAGACAAATGGATAATTCTTATTGTAAATTCGTCAAATTCTTTCTATTAGCCTTTAAAGAACCGATTTTTTATTGAATTTATCATTGGTTTTCTAAAGTTTTTGTAATTCTTCTTGCATCTATAGCTACATAAAGCGTGAGAAGATTAACTAAAGGAAGTCAATGTTACAGAAATTCATACATTTTAAACACTTTCCAGCATCCAACGAATGCCAGTTAGATTAAATCGAAATCTAATTAGGTCGATCATTTTCCTTCTCAATACAAGTGAAACAGTGTTTAGCTCGGATCAAACTCATTTCCTAGTAAGAATGACGATGTTTGCTGAACGAGTGACGTTAGTAAGGTTCAGTGAATTTTATTCCAATCGAATAAATGGCTCTTTTTGATTCGAATTGCTTCTGCTTGAGTATAGTTCAGTCCCAAAGTACATAATTCCTATCAGTTTATTAACTTCGGAACAAATAGCGTAGATACGTATAAGGAGCAATAGTAAATACTACCGTCTGCATTAAGGCATCCTTATAAAAGAATCGAAGAAGTATGAATGTGATTAATTATCAAGTTTTCAATGACTTTACTATTTTTAAATTCGCTATGACATAATACGTGTCGTCTCCGACATAACTGCTACCTATTTCTGTTTTATATATGAAACACGGTCGCTTAATTGCACACATTTATTAAGTACAATTTAGCAATGTTGTTAACAAGAATTGCGGTCAATTTTCTCAAGAGCAGTAACAAAAGAATGATGGAAAATTTCCAATAAGAATTAAATTTGTAATGCTAATAATATGGTGCTCTATTTTGAACTTCTTCCTCTGGAAGTAATAATAATTCTATAAATATAATTCGTTGAATTCTACGTTATGCAATAATTTATGTAATAAATTACGTAATTCTAAGTTATAGAAAAGTAAACTGATTTCAAAAAGGGTAGTTTCTCATCAATATTCTATCATATTATTATCCAATTATATTTATTGGATATATATTATAATTAAATATTCCTAACACGATGTGAACGAAATAAATTACAAATTTGCGTGAAAATAGTTGATAGATATCAAAGCTGGTAGAAAAGAACAATTCCATCGATTTGTTAAAAAACTAGTTACACGGTGTTGGAATCGAAGATTCTTTTCAAAATTCGAATGATTCTTACATTCGTAGTAAAAACATAAACAATGTTTCTAAACAGATACAAAGGGCAGACAAACAAAGATCATCGCTTATCAGTAGGCATGGCCAGGCACAAAAAATATTTATGTATATAGCGTCAGTGGTCATCGTGAACAAGTCTAATCAAAATTAATTCTCACGATAATACTTTTTGTTGGACTTTTTTTAGAATACTTTTGTTGTTATTGGACGCTGGCTACCGAGGCTTGTTCAAATTGATAAGTAAAAACTGAGGAAGAAAGAGATCAGGAGAAAAATACCAGTCATTACGGAAGAGGAGTGTTTGAGTAAACTACAAATTATTCTAATCACCTTCTTGATGAGTAATTTCACTAGTCTGGCAATAATTTGATATGATAAAACTTGTTAGTTACTCGTTGTTTCTTTTAATTCTATTATAGAATGATTCCAAGTATTTAAACAGAGACTATGTTGAATTATTTAATTTGCTATTTCAAGAATCTAAAGAAATTTCAAGAGTCTAAAGGAAATTTAAAGTAAACTGTTTAAACTAAATTGGAAATTTGGAATAGTCGATTCTAAAATATTTTGAAATTAAATTGAAATAAATTTGAATGAAATTGTAATGAACATTAGCGTCATAATAACAATGTTTGAAATTGAAGATTGCACGATTCTGCAGATTAATCACATCTAAAATTACATTCCAGAATTATAATTCCAGCGGAGAACGTTACATAAACGCGAGTTTATTACAGGGAAGAACATTTATTTTACGAGAAGCCTCTTTATTCACAGGCGCAGTTCAAGATAACAGTGAAACTTTTGGAAGTTACCACTAAAAGCTACAAATCGATGGAATATTTTTTTGGTAATTCTTATTTTATTTAGATCTTACAAATACCGAACACGAATAAATCAGACGTGGCAGCAAGAATAAACTATCAATGCCAAGGTCAACGCGCACACTATGATATCAGAACGTGTATAGGCAAACACATTGCGTGGGTGTTAAATGAGGAAGAAGATCGTTGTCACATAATAAAATCGTGACAATATATTTGAATCATAGCTCGTTATGTGCCTTCGTCATGTTAACGGCAAATTTCAATATCCACATAAAACTGATTTCTACGAAATATCCTTGAAACGTTTCTTTCCCTGAATGAATCATTCGTGCAGAGTGTAAGTTTAAAGACCGGGCCAGATTGTTGACATGTATTTCTATTGCAAATGAATCGAGAAAAAAAATTATAAGAAAAAATGTTGCACTGTCTATTTAATTGCAACATGCAAGAACAGTTATAAGACTATTCTTTGTTTTTAATACTCGAATATTTGTAACAAAATATATTTCATTTATTTAGTAAGTTTCGTTTATTTAATAAGTTTCATTTATTTATAACTAGACAATTGTTTGAAATCAGTATTTTAACAAATGTAGAATTCTCCAAGTTACATAAACTGAGAAAGAAGTGTAGAAAAAAAGAACATTTTCAATATTTACATTTAATTTTAGTCTATCTAGCTTCAATGTCCTTTGGAAATGATAAACGAACAAAAATACACACTACAGGAACGAACGATAAGTAGATATGCACACTTTTGTTTCGTTCTGACATTTTCAATGTAAACTATGAATCCTCAGAACGGTATAGACTTATTTTTTATAATTAGGTTGAAATCAGTAGTCAGGAACTATTCCATAAGAGAAATTTTCAAAAATTATAGGTTCATTTGCGATTAATACGGAATCAATAAGTCATCCAAGAGAAATTATTAATTCTATGCTAAATACACAGTCATATTCATATAAATATGGACCAATACTTTATTACCTGATAACGCAAATAATGATAATGAATCTTTACCGAGAAATGCAATAATTACAGCCCAACATTCGCTCGATATTTACAACAAGCACGTATTTTCATAATACTCATGTATTAACTAATCATTTCTAAAGAAACTACTCTAGCAACCTAAATAAGCACCTAAATAAGCACCGAAATATGCGACTTCCGATAAAACTCGTAGAATCCCTTTGTTTAAAATCCATAAATATTAGGTCGTCCGATAAGTTTCTTTCGTTTCATAAGGTGATAATAGATGAACGATAATTTCTGTTTTATATTATTTTATTGAATTAAGTATGATCCATTTTGTTACGTTTCTACTATTATGTTCGTGCATAATTCGATAAACTAATATAAAACAAAAAACATCGTGCGTCTATTATTTCCTTATAAAACGAAAGAAATTTTTCGAATAACCTAATACATACGAAAACGTTTTATTGACAATGTATCATCAAATTCAATAATATTTTCTGCGAAAACCTTTAGCCATTTTTCACGAAGATTTCAAAAAATTTTCATAAAATCTCTACAAAAGATACGATCTTCCGGAAAAGATTTATAAAAAACGATAAAAGCGAATGGAAAACTAGGTTAACACGGAGGAGAGATGGTCTCGTGACAATTTCACCACAATCGGAATTCGATATTAGAATTGACCGATGCACCGGAATCTATATTATACCTATGAGCTAGGGCGAGCTTAATTATAAAATACTTTAGCCGGTGTCAATCGTGATAAAATCTCGAGCGTGGGCGAGGGAGAACGATAAATTATATTTAACGTATTTCCTGGCTAGGCTAGGAAATAAATGAGTTTCCCGTAGAGAGTCGCAAACCATCCTCTTCAAATCTTCTCGAACTTTGACTTTCCCACCGAATCCTTTAGAAGGAAAGTTTAGCAATTATATAATTAAAAAAAAAAATGGAAAAAGAAATTTTAATTACTTCTTTGCAAATATGCATAAAGTGAATGAAATGCATAATAAAAGAATATTTATGGAAACAAAGAATTCATAAACTAATTAAATTATATCTAAGATAAATATAGAAATAAGTGGCAAGTAACAAATTAACCCGCCTTTGGAATTGAATAAAATTAATAATAGTGATGTCTATCGGTAAATTTAATTTATTCGTAAAAAATAATGGAATCTATTACATTCTATATTTTCGAATTGAAAATTAAACGTCGACATAACGAAGCATAACAATAGATAGTATATAATCACATAAATCACAAAAACAAGACTTCATATGTATGAGAAAATATTATTCTTTATTTTTAATCGCTGTCGAATACCCATCGGACAAATTGCAAGGAATTTATAGGGGTTCATAAAAAAAAAAATATTTTCAATTTATCTTTCTTTTAAAATCTGGATTGTTCTATTATTTCGATTATATCACTTGTTCGTATATTACGATTACGACTGTATTGCATTATATTGCGTCTCATAATTACACGCTACCGACACGCGAGATAGTTCCTATAATTATCGATTGGCACGAGTGCGACACGCGGAGAGATTGAAGAAAACATGCGTTCCCTTAAAAGAATCATATTTTATTTTAGTTCATAGCTTTACGTATCAGCCGTATTCGAATAATGTATCGAACTGCATCGAGTTTCCGCGGTTAGAATAGGATTACTAACTTCGCAAAATGAACGTATAATGTAAAATTCAAGCAGTTGAACGGATATACTTATTCAAATATATTTAACCTCGTTGCATTGTAATGAATTCGCGACAATGAATTCGCGATAATGAATTCGCGCGGTAGTCATTTAACGGAAGTCATCATAGTTCTCCGAGACTGACATCTCAATCACTCGATAAAACCCATAAAAAATTCAAGTAAAATTTCTATCGATGATATTCATAGCGTGGAATTATCTTTTACTAATTTCCATTTCATTTTACTATTTTTATTAGATAGTAATTAAATAACGAAAAAGACAAAATTAATTTTTTGGCTAACCACAATTTCTAACAGGTTGATTTTCTTTCTCTTTTTAGATTCTACAGGATGAGAACGAACTATAGTTGTGCTGCACTATAATTTACACAAATTGGACTACGTACTTGTTCTCAAAGTGATAACATACAAGATGAATTTTTACACTTGTTTTTTTCTTAATAAAGTGAAAGTGATCAAAACATGATATATAGATAATACAAAAGGAAAATATTTGCTTAAAATTACGTGATTCTTGAAAACATATAAATCTTACTTCATCCAATTTTCCATCCAACGAATAACTTTATATCATTAGATATTAAAACCTTCTATCTCTTCCACAGCTTTTTACATCAAAATTCAGGCCGGAGCTATTATAAATTTCCCCAATGATGTAAATAGTATCTCAAGCAAAATTGCTCGACCTTGATATTTGCTATGCGCGTTATCCTCATTTTTTCATCAGAAATTCATTAACAATGTAATCAACAGATAACAAAAGACATTTTCGCAGCGATCTGTTATAGATATTCATTCGACAATGTGCAACCGTGTTCGTCGTAACAATTACTGTCGATTAATAGCAACGTTTCTCCATAATATCGTTCCCATCCGATGAAAATATCTTCACGCGCACGTTATCGTCGTGTATTATTGAAGGCGTAAAAGATCGACGTAACTTGCAAAAATGAAGATTCGTAAACAGACGATGTTATGTCTTTTGGTATCTTTTGTTTCAAACGTTTGCTAACGTCTCGTAATATACAATTTAACTTCGAAACTTTTAAGTAAATATTTTTAACTAGACCATTCGAAAATTAAAAGTTTACGATCTATTGCTAATAATAATGAAATAACGATGAAAATGAATGGTGTTAAAAAACATTCTCTAGCAAATTTCACCTCGAAATATATTACATTTAAATGTCAAATTTTCGGGTAACCTATTATTTCGTCCACTCGATGAAAATTGTGTAAGAAGAAAAGCGCAAAAAAAAGCACCTACCTTGCTGGATAGAAGACCAGCAGTCGGTGTACGATCGTTAGGGTCGGACTCCGGGATCGGTTCATTCGGGTTCTCCATGTGCATACCTGGCCATCCAACCCACACTCCATTTCCGCTTATAACCACCGGTGCTACCGCTGTTACAAGACCTCCAGCACTAAAATGAGGAAAACGTACCAACGTTATCAGAAGAAGGTGTCACCAGGAAGAGAGCAAATAGAAAAAGGTGGCGTGCGTACAATGGTATGCATACAATAATGTGCGTACATGACAAATATCAGTATATGTAAAAGTAGAAAACTCAGTCTTCACGAGCAGCTCATAGAACACAGACGATCTGTTTGGATCTCACTTGGATCTATTTACTTTCTGAGACCATTTGAATGGTTTTAAAATACAAAAAGAATTTTAATGGCGTTGGAAAAAGTATAATTTTAACAAGGTGGAAGAACGTGTTATGTTTTGAATAAACTTGAGTACAAAGAGTAGGTAAACATATTTTTTTATAACATGTGTTTTAGTCACAGATCTATGTTTCATTTCTATTATATTAATTGCAATCGGATCGAAGTACTTTTAAATAGTAGAAGATTTAGTATGTCTGAGTATAACTACATAAGACCATATAAGCACCTAAGTCATGAAACACATGCCAATCTTGATTAAAATATTTGTACAGCTGCATTCTGGTTAAACTCATAAAAAAGACAATGTAATTTACATTTCTGCTATGTGTTCCAGAGTTATAAATCAACAAAATGAAGAGCGGATAGAAAAGAGGACGTACAAATGCTGATTTTGGACATCTTTCAACAAGGAACCCGAACATTTCGGTGAAATTTTAGAATAAGACTATCTAATAGGAAAACTACGTTATTTCAACATATAATTAGTAGATAGAAAATATTTTTTTCTCGCTTTTTACCACTTGATACTGAAGCACTTATATAATATAAACCTGATCAAATTAGACCTATTCCATAATAATAACATTTTATAATAAATAATATGATTTCGTTTTTATTCTAAATTCACAAATATCTAGTGATCCATAGATGAAAGTGTAAATGATAAAGGAAAAAAGATAATGTACAAATATTTTTCTTTGATTACGCGTATTTTCTATCAATTTTTAACAGAATACCAACAATTTCCGCCTTTAACCAACCGTCTATCGTCTATGTAATAATAATAAAGATAGCGACAAAATCTATGAAAAAAAATAATCCCATACGTAAATATAAAAGATCACCGAGTGGTCGTCATCGGCGTATCAGGCGATAAGACGAGAATAATATTGAAAGACGTCTTCGATCAATTCTGTAACGGTTTGCCAGGGAACACACACACACACACACAAAAATCACATACAATCATATTTACATAATGACAAATACACGACGATTGTATCAATCTCACGAACGTATATTCTCGGCTTTATATAATCGAACGTATCCAACCACTTTTAACCATTTTATCATCGTTATTAAAATTAATCTAGATTAGTGAAAACAATTGCAAATGTGGCGTCATTAAATTAGAAATATGGAAAGATGGTAATGTTGTGATATTTTGAAATCACTTGCATAATGCCGCATCTTTCAATGAGATGCACCTGTGAAACTTTCATAAAATTGTTAAAGACTTTGAGGAAAATATTCCGCGATTACCGACGTTATTTTATATTCTCTTATGTAGGATTATCCATTTAACACGTTGGTCGCCACGTCACCCATATCTATGTGACGGGTATACCTCGGTGGGGGGTGTCACCCAAGTATGGGTGACGCTCTTCTTGTTCGAGTTAATTAACACGGAACCCGCGCTCGCGAGAACATTGAGAATATCAAAAGTATAACATGTACGCTTACTACTACAAACAACTGTTGTGAAATTCATCTATGAACTATGTCGAATACTGATTACTCGTGTTAAGTCTGTGGTTTAGTTTTGAGATAAGTTCGGCTTCTTATCATTCTAAGACAAAAAAGCTTGTCGGCTAGTCCGAATAGATCCAGGCACTGCGAAGGTCTGTCTAGATATGAATTTCTGTGAGGTGTCTTGTTGTATCTTGATTGCTTTTCTTATTCCTTATTCTTGCATTCAACGTATTCGTAGCGGTGCGAACCAGAATCAGGTAACAGCGACAATCAACTTAATCAAATCAAATAGAAAGCGATCGATGACAAATTTTGAAGTACGACGTGAAGGAAAATGTTTAATACGCTAAAAATAATAATTACCGAACGAAATAGAAAAAGGGCCTTGAAATTTATAACAATTTGAACAGTTTCATTGTAATTCGCTAATAACTCCAACAGTTAAATACGATTTTAGATAAGAAAAAAAAATTACATTGTAATTAAATTTCAGATAAGCATAATCCAGGATATCAGTTATTAAAAAAAACATTGAGCTACATGTAAGAACAGAACCGAGTGTGCTTGCTTACTTCGAAGCTTCGGGAGCGTACAAACATATGAAATCATCGAGCGAAAAGTCGCCAAGCTCGCTGTCTTAACGATCATCTTCTTCTTATTGTGACGCCAAATTTGAAGTCCTTTGCCTAATTATATTTCTAGCGACAGTTCATAAATGTGACATTTGATTGTAATAGTGAACGTACATGTTTCACTATTACCGGACTCAATGTTCTCGCTACCGCGCAGGTCCCAAGTTAAGTGAATAACCCTGTACTACTAGAACATATATACTACTATGCTAACTATCAATAGTCCTGTCCTCGTGTTTATCAAAATGAAAACGATTCATATATCGATTCATTTCTCATTTCCTACGCATGTGTATGTTTGGATTGATTCTTAATTACGCGGCTGTTCCGGGTTGGCCGTAATTCAATATGCCCCTCTGCGACCTCAACCTACATATCTACCCCAAACTCAATCCACTCGAAGATCTGTGATTGGACTCGAACGTGTGCCGACTACATTGACACTGGCACGCCATAATTATAAATTTGTAATAAAACTTGGCTATCATTCAGCACGCCCAACAAAAAGGCTGAGCGAACATCTGAATGGCCTTTCACCGAAAAGTAGGTCAAATCAAACAACTTCATTCCCTTACAACTTTTGTCATTTGTGTACTTGTGTTTTTATCTTAATTCGTTAGAAGTTGCTACTTGGTTATTTAGAATTTATATTCTTTTGTAATAGTAACGCAAAAGTTTTAATTTGACACTTGTAATTTGATATAGGTTTCCAGGGACGATAAATTTTTAAAATTTGTATCAAATAAGGGAAATTGAATGTTAAAACTGTATTCTCTATTACAGAAGAATTTCATTTATTAGAACGAAATTTAGTTGTATCATTAAATGAATTCCTAGTACCAATGAAGTAGAAATATTCTATTTCATAAGTAACAATTCTTCGAAGACTCCAATTGTATGAAACATTTGTCTTCTAACAGATTTTTTAATTTCCACAAACTATATTGTTTGAACTATATTGTTTGGAAAAAAAATTGTAATCTTTTATTTTTTTTTCTTTCTTTCAATTTCATGATTCTGAAAATTATTTCTCTAACGTAGGGATAAAATACTTCAGATATTATTACATTGATACATTTAAACCTTTCAGTTCTTTCTTTCTCTCGATGACTTTTAATGATAAATAGACAATACGTAACTAGACGTAAGAATTTTGTTGACCAGGGGCATTAATGGTACCAACACAAAAGCCATTAGTATATGCTATTATTACCATTGGATTACTCAAATATGATCTATTTTGAGAATGCCACAATTTCAGACGCGTAAGTGTTTCAGCTCGAGTGAAGCACTCTCGAATATCATTACTTGCGCTCTTCAGTATGTAACGATCGCGTTTGAAAAAGTGACCTCCTACGTTCTTGTTTACCACACATCGAGATTTTCATACAGGACGAAGAAGAGAAAATACACTCGATTGACACGGATGTTGACGGCTGTTATTTTTAAACGTGCCAGATTAACATGGAAAATGACTGATATCGATAACATATTGTACTTTATTTGTGTTTAATTGGATTAATACACGGTGATAAAATATTCAAAATAATTCGGAAATTGTGACGTTGAGTTGTGGTGTTGTTGAAGAATTCGAACAAAATTTTTTAATTGATTCAACCCATTAATTCTGTTTTATTTTATCGCTGATTTGTTATTCCTTTTAATGAAAGAGTGCTTTGTTTTTCTTTCAATTTGAGAACGATATTTACGATAGGTGTAACGATATTTGTAATTATTAAAAGTTTGATCTAGAGATGAAAATACAACGTTCAATGCGAATGTTACGTAATATTGTTAGACGTGGAGATTTCAATATCAGTTCCTGACTTTCAAATGAAACTAAGTGCTTATATATATTATACGTACGTGTATATATTTCAAGACGGATTAGCCAGAGATGGATGACGTACATCTTTCATTAAACGCTATAAATAACTATTGTAAGCCAGAAACAAATACTATATTTTATCTGCTTCGTAGCCAACATTTGATGTGAATATGTGACAAATGGCTAATTATAGACTCTATTTAATCACTTATTTAATTATTTAAGAAATTGACAAAAATTGATTCATGATATGCTTAACAGTAGGTTTAAAGAGATTTCTCCTAACTAATCTGTTTTACCAGACCTCAGTCCACTAGCTCTTTGAAACATAAAAAGAAAAATATGCAAATTTATTAAGAATTCTAAGGAACACAATGAAAATCTTCACAAATAATTTTACCAAGAATTCAAACATTAATCTAAATGTACAATCCTCTTGTTTCAAATTGTTTGAACATCTGCTTTACATCTTAAAACCCACGTCATAAACTACTACCAATAGGTTCCTATGTAATTGTCTAATGTATCTAAGTTGTCTATAATTAAACAAAATTTGTCAGAGGTAGTATTACTATTTACAGAACGATGCACCCAACCACTCGCACGAAAATGTGTACGAAATATAACTTTGTAGTATAGTGCAAATTAAATTGCAAATAAGAATACAACTTGACATCCGAAGTGACAATGAGAAAAACATGCATACGCAATCTACCTTTCTTTGAAAAGGAAGAAAAAGAAAAAATTCACAATAAATATGTACTTAGTTATTAGTTAATCTTATTATCCAAAAATCTAAAAATCATTATTATTAAGAAAGGAAGATGGAACATATCAAGGAACGTATAAAAATGTCGAATACACTGACAAAACAATGCCCTATCTATCAAAAAAGAAAAAGGGATGTATTTGATGCGTAGAGACGCGCGCACGTCGCATCCAATTTCAAACAGTAATCAATTCCACCAGTGACGAAGTTCGTGTTTTTCCATAACATTTATCACGACTGTGCCATGCAAATCGGGCACGTAACTACCGCAACAATCGCGATAATATATGTATATTACACAGCGCACGTAACACGCGCAGCGGACACGCGGAAAGCACGTGGCGAATATCTTGTGAATGACTGCGCGCGCGTCTACTTATGTTGTCACTACGGTTTTTATCGTAAGCCACCTAAAAGATGATTGACTCTTATCGTTATTTGAGGATTTCTAGTCGACGAATATATTCAGTCTCGTCGAAGAATAAGTGCAATTAACAAATGTTAAAAATACCAGGTGATTTTGAAGATCAAAGATACTCTTGAACAGATATCATTATCAGATGAATAATATCACGTAACAACGTAGAAAAAGAATCGCGAAGAAAGAAGGAATACCTGTAGATAAGAATGTTTAACAAGCGCAACATGATCGTTTTTCATATAACGTACTATACGTGATTCGAAAAATTTCCATGGAATTTTTGCTTCCCGCCATAACGATTACGCTATCGTTCGTGTAATTCGTTTTTCTCGTCGCTTCTGCCTTTTGTTTCATGTTTACTCAGAATCTTTGTAAGGAGGATTGTATAGCTAATTTACAGAGATAAATCTTAATTTCTTTTTACTTTTTTAAATTGTGATAACACGAGAATTGGCATTTTGGACGTTGACGTTGAAATATTCATCGTAATGTATAATGATATGCCTGTCCAATTTGACTTCTGTGCAACGATGACACATCCTACTCATGTTATTATGTCCGTCGACCTATCCATTACGAACGTTGTTTGTATTTAGTTCTACGGGTCCAGTTACACGACTAAACGACACACTTAAATATTATTTACGGCATATTGAATATGATCAACATCCATCTTTACGGGAAGTAATAAATGATTTTTGCGATTTTTGTTAACAATCAAATTTCGTTTCAGTTTTGTATTCCCGATAATGGGATTTCATGCTCGTATATATTGCATCATCAGGAATATAAAGTTAAAATTGGAACGCACTGTGTCTGGTACATTACAACAATGCGTATCTATATTCAATACAGTCTATTGATCTTAAAGTCAAATGCGGTGCAAAATTGCGTCGTTTGTCTGCAACCGTTTGTCAGCAAACTGCCGGTGTTTATGCAAATTCATATCCTCCAAAGCACAGTTAAAAAAATGGAACCTAATAAGAAATACATTTCATCCCAAAAATATTATAACGAGTACGTGACATGTTTTATATATCGTTGAAATATTATAAACTTTTTATTAATATATTTTTGTACATTTGTATTTCCCACAAATGCATATACATCTGCAGTTCATTCAACAGAAATAGTTTAACAAATGAATCGTATAGTAATAAATTGATCGTGCAAAATGAAGAGGAAAGCGTATGATTATGTTCCATCGCTCTTTTTGCTGTCACGTCTACAATTTTTACTGTTTGTTTACAGTTGACAGTCTCTTAATCTCGACTCTGAACAATCTCAACCGAGTCGATAACGGTGTACATATTCATTCCCACATAAAACCACCACAGTGAAGAAACAGCGAAGAGAAACGACAAAAACTCGCACAATATTCCTATATTTTCCAATGGATTATTTCTTTTCTATATTTTACGAATGTGGTTAGATTAGATGCCTGAAAAGAAGTTTATTTTCCTAAGAGGGTGAAACGACTGGGTGGAGAACGACTACTATTATCTCCTTGATTAATTATTTCAATTACTGGCAGTCACGCACGCTTGTCTATTTTTTGCCTGTTGTTTATTAACAAATCAGACCGTGATTCATGCAAATAACCAGATAAGATACTCGACTTATGTCACTGAAACAAGATAACGGTTGTCTTTGCAGACTGTCATGTGTTTTGAAATATACAAAGACACAACAAACACCTTCTATGTAGTCAGTTTCGTACCGTGAAACAGGGGTATGTTCGTGCGAATCGGCATATGAAAACAAAGATGACGATTTATAATGTTTGAAACCGTAAATCACGAAAGCTATTAAATTGTCGCGAAATGATTTTTCGATGGTAGATAGGACGGAATTGAAACACGAAAGCAGCTCTATTTTGTAGTACATTTTTATTTATATGTACTACATATATCGTACTTAATATAACGAAAAACGATAGTTAGCACGATTTAATAATAGACGAAACATTATAAAACTATTGCGAAGAAGAAAGAGGCAATTGCTTCAATATTCAATGGGAAAGCTTGTTCAAATATCCAAAAACTGAAGTTGAATCCATATAATGAAATACACTTCGATTTATGAATTTTATTCCATTATTCTGCATCATTTCGAATGAAATTAACCAATTTTGCTTCATCATTCTGAATGTTTGTAAAATCTCTTTCAAGTGTTTGTCACCGAGTTAATAAAAAATTTATCTTGTTGACTACATATGTACACTGGTCGCCCAATTTACGCGGCATTTTTTTTACGGGGTAAGTCATAACACAACTTACGCGATAATTTTTATGCGGTCAATCGTATCAGTGGTGTATGAGATAAGGACAAAAATACATTACGTTTTGCTAGTCATCATATGTGTACATATTTCTTCTTTAAAAACGAATAAAACGAATCCACGCGGGTGTATATATATGCTCCGAAGATGACATTTATAGATTCCGAAAAAATGTCGGTATTTTTTACGTTGTATCGAAGAAAGCAAAGGAATTGACAAAGGTTATTGCATATACACGCGACATATTTTTATGATCACAGGTTTCCGCCGTCACGAAGTCGGAGCAAATTCGAAAACTATTGAAAACAAAGTAATTCAACGAATGGGGAAAATACATCGATCCGGAGAATAAAAAAGTTCCGCAGGACGTGTTCTTACGAAAAATTTCGTCAGCGGTTTTGCCCTATATAGAAGCGAGCTTTCCGACGTAGATCACTGCGCGTGATGTGTAATCGTATACTATTTTTTCTCCGACCATAAATAAACGCTGCAACCGAGAGCAACATGCATCGATTACTAATTGTAAGTCACAATTGGTAATTTTACTTAAGAGAAGTTCATAAAACATCCGACGACGTTATAAAAAGAAACATGTTACATAAAAAAATGATCTGACGCTGTGGGAAATTATAACTAATCAGATGATGAATGGGAATCTATACGATTGAATACATTAGTATTTTTAGCCCTTTGTAGTCGATTATAATATATATTTAAAACATATTCTCTTGCGTTATAATTTAACTTGATAAAAATATTTCAACGTAGGGATACTATTAATTGAAATATGAACATTAAAATTAAACAGTTTCTGATGACTTATCAAGTGTACCAGTTGGAATAGAATGTCACACTCTACTGAAACTGCGAAGGGCTGACTTGTGACGATGTAATCTACTAACCTACATACAGTATTGGGACATGCTCCGACAGCGAAGGACTTAATAGTAATGATCTAATCTACTGATGTCTATGCACAAGCACTTATCTGAGCAAACGTTTGGAATTATTTCTGTAATATTGTCATATTTTTGAAAATATGATGTGCAATAAATATTATATTATATTACTTTTAATATATCTTTTTAGTAATTTCACTATATTTGAATATAACTGACAGAGAAAATATATCAAATAATTAGCAATATAAACACAAATTGCCTATATTGGTTTATAATTAAATGAATTTATATTATTCATTTAATTCATACTTGTAATCTTGTACTAACAATAAGAACATCTTGTACTTGAGCAAAGTCCATCAATGAAATAAAAGGCACACTAACTGCTCTTAACAGTATACAAACATGACAATTTATTGAACTCTATCGATTACGTCCAATTAGCATGTTAACAGTACCACTGCTAAAATCGACCGAAGGAAACTTCACTTATGATATAAAGATTCAATGTGATAAATAGATTTAATAACTGATTACATTAAATGATCTATCGTCTTCGATCAATTCAATTAATCAATTTTCTTCAATTTAATCTTTTCTTGATTCGCTAATCGTTTCGAACAATTAGAGTAAAAGAAAGTGATAGAAACGGTCCAACAGTATCTTCCATCAGATATTTGACCGTAAAATATGAAAAAATATTTTTAGTAACTATATTGAATATTGATACAAATAGGGAATCTACGAGTCCCTGTTTTGCCCTTGCTTTGCGTCAACAGTTCTCCGTCGATATTTCTATTGGCTTGTTTACGCAACGGAATAAATTACCGCACTATTGCATATTCATTTAGAGGAATACTATAGACTTTGTTGATCTTGCAAATCTGTCAATAACAAAACGCTCCGCAATCGACGCTTCTACATCGCAAATCAATGTCTTAATCGCGACCAACTCTTTCACATTTTCCATCCTTTACGAATTGAAATTAAATATTTATTACACAAATACAGCGGTAAGTTGGAATGTTAAACGTTAAAATATTATATTTTGTAAATAAAAATTGAAATTGTATGTGAATTTGGGAATTAAAAATCTGATTAAAAATACAAATTTGTACCTATCACACTGGCAACTCGATATCCATAATAAAGCAAAGGGTTAGAAATGCGAAATAAAACGAGAAAAATCGAAGAAATGTATGAAAATAAGAAATGACAATAAAAGATCAGGGTAATCGAGGAAACGTTAAATAACGATGAGGTAATATCACGCTCCATCCGCGGTCAGGTCGCATTGCAACGACCGCGAGTAACATGCACCCACGCGTGTACCTATCGTGCAACGACGAAGCGCGTTCGCGCGTGCATGACAGGTAAATAGTGGGAAAACGAAACAATAAGTGAGGCGTGACTAATGAAATGCATAGACAAAGAAAAAAGGAAGGTAACAGAAAGATAATAAGAGAATAAAATGAGAAAGAGAAAAGCTTGTCTGGCATACTACTAACCTGGCCTTGCGTTCCAGCTGACCGGTCACCTCATTCCTCTTCAGCACGAACGGCAACCTGTTGCTCACGACGATCATGCTCCCGTTGGAGGAGAAGCTACCGGGTTCTGTAGACATTTTGATGTTCTCTGATCAACTGTTGCAAACCGTGTGTTCCGTAGAAGAAGGGAAAAAATGACACCGCGAGTAAGTAATAAGTGTCGCGCGACTCCACACACGAGGATCTCTCCTCTTTCTCTTCGGTTCGTGTTCTATACGCACGGTCACCGGTTCGACAGCGCTGTTCTGCTATACCAAGTGTCGCGTGTCACGTGCGATCACGTGTGCATGCGAAACCGAAGTCGAAGGAGAACCGCGCCAGTTAGACGGTCGATCTGGCTAGTAGTCTGTCTCTCCTCGTCGTCGAGCGCCGCGCGAGATGACACTTTTCACTGTTCCTCGTGTCGTTCCCTTTACAGCTGCGCTTTAAAAGCGACTGGATGGCGCGTGCCCGCGTGCAGAACCGTGTCTTTCGGTTTCGTTTGATATCTCGCTTGCTCTTTGCCCTGTTTGTCTTCTCCTTTGTTTCTTTTTCGCTCTGCGTTTAAGTAGTGGTGAGCGAGCGTTTCTTTTTGGTTCTATCGTGAACTCTGATTATCCGTGAGATACGTGATTAACTCACAGTGACTGATTCTCTTTATCTTGTCCTTAAGGGCGGTTCGGATGCACAGCGACAACAAAGAATAATACAAGACAGAAATAATACAGAGGGCGAGTAAGAAGGGGGAGACTATAATGGAGGGAGTAACGCAAATCGATTTACACCGGGTAAAGGTACAATAGGAATAAGTGAAAGCTTAAGAGAAAGAGAGGAAGAAAAATCCTCTAGCGGTTGATTGGTCCGTATGACTGTGCCGCGGTGCGTGGCCAAAGTAACACTGAAGTAATAACGCCGCGTTCCCCTGAGTTTATTCGTGTTAGCCGTCGCGAGGAATTGGTCCAAAGTCTCTTTCTACGATAGTATCAATGATGGGGCCGCGACCTTTTGACTATACCGCGGTTTCCCCTCGTGCAATCAACCACCACCACACCATCATCATCAGTGTCGTCGTCGTCACTACCACCGTTACCATCTCTGCATTCAAAAACACTACCCCAGCGTAATCATATGTAAACATACAGATACAGCGTCTCCCTCTTCACTCTACTCTTTCCCTCTTTTTTCCTACCCCTCTTTTCTTCCTCTCTTTCTATGACGACGCAGCGTGTCGTCGCGTGTCGTGACAGACGATCAGGGTTATCTCCTCTTATCTTTTAATTCTCGGATAACACTCGCTAATGGGACATCATGTACGTCGTCGGCGACGTCGTGACCAGCTGTACACGTTGTACCGGCATCCAGTTGTCAACATGTACATACGTGACAAATAACCGGTACTACTATATTATTGTTGTGTCGCGTTAAACACAGCCTATGTTATACCGAAACGGGACCGACCAATGCCAATTCAAGCGGAACTCGACGACAAGCAGACTGTCTGTGAACCAGATCAATCGCTATTCTTTTTCGTTCTTTTTTTTTTTTTCGTTTAGATCGTATGAAAGAAAAATGTATATATCTCTGTTACCGACAGATGAAAACGGCCGATGTAACGCGGATGCTGATTACGTTTTTGCAGGATAAATAATGATATTTAGGTAACACAATTATTACATGTGTTACAATTGTTACATTATATTTTTTATCGAATTTCTAATCGGTCCTCGTATAAGTACTTAGCAAGTTGTTTTCCTTTGACTAAAGTCGAATCAAGCAGCGATTAAAGGGGCAATTACGTAACTAGCAGAATGACTGTAAGCAGAAAGGCGTTGAAATCTATAGTGGATAAAATTGGGAAGCTTTGACATTCTGACCTATGCCGTTAAGGCACGTATCTCTCATGTAGATAAGTACCAATCGAATTGTTTCAATGTGACGTACCTTCCTGGTAAATATTTGAGGTCAGCCTGGACAAAGTTGCATGCATTTCTCGTTTACCCGAAATAAACGAGATAAAAAGATTATGTCTACATGCTGGCGATATGTTTCGTACAGTTTTATTCAGTGCTTGGAGAAGCATGACTAGTAACAAAAAATTCCAACGGCATGGAAAAAATTAAATAATAAAAATTAATACTATGGAACTACTATCTTCATATTCTTCTTCGTTTACTCATGCAGTTTCTATTCTCCAATAAGAAAATTTGTAATGGAATAAGATTTCATACTACAACGTACTCGTCCAATAATCTGGAGAACCAACGTATAATAAGTAATAATATAAATTCACTGTTTACGAAGAAGAATATTTACTTTTGCGAACATAATTTCATATTATCTCTGAGCACGGCGATAATACAAATTCGAGTAAGCTGCTCGAAAAATCACTATTTAAAAAATCCGTAATCGTTGTCACTATTTAAATAATGGAAATTAAACCTCATAGATAATTTGTCACGACAAAGGAACCTTGAGAACAGATATTTATAACTATAATCAGTAGCTAAATTCTAGTAACGTAAATTAAAATTACAGCTACTATAACTTGACAAATCGAAGAAAGAAAAGGATAGTGAACATTTTTACAGATATTTTTTCTCTCATTTTGCTCAACCGATATTAATGTTATAATTGCAGGACTCATAATGAAAACAAAAAATGATCTGGTATATCTTGACTTATTTTCATATAAAAAGCAACCGAAAATGTTTACAGTATTTTATAATACTATAAAAATCTTTATCATGGGATCCACAATTTCATAATTTAATTAGATATATTTTTTCTATTATGTAATTGAGATCGTACCGATTGTAAGATCGCTTCTAGTATAAGTCATTTAAATGTCGCTAATTAAATAACGTAATTAAATAATTAAGTCGTTTAAGAATCATTGTTGCTAGCGAAATGTACTGTGGCTCAAGAAAGTATTAGAACACTTATGCAAACTTTTAATGAATACATTGCATGTATTATACATTCGGGGATTGTATTAACAATGTTACGGAACACGACTAGCATGATTATATTAGTAAAATTAAAAATGAATTTAAAAATGTAAACATGTAGAAGTTAGAAAATACTTATTGCACGCAGAACTTACCAAAGTATTTGAACAAATAATTATTCATTATATTAGTATATCACAATATTTACTGAGACCATCTTTATCACTAATTAATAATTATACATTTAAGACTATTATTCATATCGTATACTAATTTCTTACTAAATATATATTTCCAATAAACGTCTTGTAACATACTAATATATTTTCATACCGGTTTCAAATTTTATCGATATAATCATGATAATATAAATGTTCCATAAACGATAAGTGTTCAAGTGCTATCGTGAACCGCTATAAATTGAACTAATTTGCCTGACTGTACAGAGAATCCCGAACTTTTCAGTTGAAATACTGTCTTGACGTTTCTCGAAGGAGCAAGGGATAAAAAAGACGTTATCATCACGTTATCGTCACGTGCTGGTGTTAGCTAATAAGAAGCTAGAGTTAGAGGATAATGAAGAAAATTGGCACGCGTCGCGCACGCGGTCCAAGTTTTACTCCATTCTAAAAAAATCGTTCCGTTGGAATTTAACTAGTTGAGAGACAAGTGTCGCGTTGCGAACAATACACAACTGATCGTATTGTATACCCGGCTCGACCATGAGGAACTGGTAAAAATCAATGACGCATGGTTGGAAATTAGACGCTGCATCATCGTCTAAACTTACTCTATTTAAAGTATGTACATATACCAACATAAATCTATATTTTTCGCACACTTTTGCGCACCGGGATACGTATTACGCAACATACTTCAATATCAGGTAACCAAGAAAGTCCGTGCCGTTTCTAGGTTTATTTCTATAAATTTAAAACGGCATAACCTTTCTTGATTATCTAATATTTCCCATACTTACAATTAAATGATACACGACAATAGTCTCACTGATTTCAATTATCACTTCCAATATTTTTGTCGATTTATTTAGAGTACTATACTGAAAAAGCAAAATCAAACAAATAATGTTGTATGTAGATTATTCAGAACAATCATATAACTTTCATTTCATGTATCTGTTTAAAAGAAATAAATATACATTAATAATTTTCGGATGCAAATTGTTCTTATTATTCAAAATAATGTATTGTACAATTAATTAAATTTTTGTTATGTTTTGAGGTTTATAATATGTTTTTATAACGTTCTACATTACATATTATTACTTCATAACAATGTACCGAAGTAATAATGTGGTAAAAAAGCAATGTCAGAAATGTCAAGTTTGCAAAAACACGTGGATAGGGCAAAAGCGATATTAACATTTTATTACCTTCCTCCATAGATGGAGTTACTCACACAACATATTTACGTAAAGTTATAAATAAGGAAGAAAACTGTAGTTATTAATGCAATTATATTTTTTACAAGAAATAGTAATTCCTTCTGATTCCATAAGATTTCTATCAAGAATTTCGGGTCCCGTCGTAATAGTTCGTAAAAATCCGGCAAAATTCGACAAGTTTCGGTGTAATTCGGTAGACATAGCATGTGCGTCGAATATAAGCGCGAAACCGGTATGTATATTTTTTGCTACTATACAAAGTAGGTTAAAAATATATGCAAACAATAAACGTATAGCACAAAAATATTTAACTTTTTACAAGTCACTGACTTCATTGTATATATGAAGCAGCGTAAAATTCTTAATATTATTAAATCCACAATATTTAATATCTTTTAAATTTACGCAAAGATGATAACTTAATATAATTAAAAAATCAAAGAAATTTGAATTTGAATGTTTGTTTCATGTATTTATTTTATAATTGCAAACAGTTCTTCTAATAATAAATATTAAAAGTAGATTTTTTGCGAAAAAGAATTAATGTAATAAGCAATGAAAATATAATCCAAAGATTCAACTGCGTTTATGTTAAAAATATAATATATAAAAAATTAATACAAGCTATGCTGGTAATCATTGAAAAATTGCATTAATATAATTCAATTTTTCAAATAAAGCAATCGTAATAAATTACGAAAAATATTCTTTTTCAGAGCATTTTTACTGTATTTTTATTGCATTTTCGACAATATACATACAGAGAACGTAGATCCTTCAAATAGAATAGTTATTTAAATCTGTATCGTAAATGCGGTTGCCGTTGAATTTACGCTCACGAAAGAATCGTTTAACCAACAAATGGCTGACATCTAGCACGCTGAATATTTCAAAGTAAAAAGCGATGACAATTACACCGAATGATTAATATACATACAAATGATCACAAAAACAATAGAACATATAGAATGACAGAATCGTGAAACTCGAGATGTGTACCTAATTCAAATCGATCTGCTATTGTCAACTTAGTACATACACCTTTATCCGAGTTAAGACGACATTGACACCCACCTCAAAAAGACAAGCTTCCTCGTTTTATTATATATAAACGGCAATGTTAAATAGACTATTAATTATACACTACAAGTTGGCAATATTTTGTTAAAGAGTTCAATGCTAATTCGCGCACTCACATGTATACCGGCAATCCTCCGGTACTGGCTAGTGTTTTTACGAGAGACGTTCTTTCGAGAAGGTACCACTGGTAACTGGTTCCTTCTTCGCGAAGTTTCGGATAGCTGAAATTGCAAGCCGAATCGATTGTTATGGCCTACAATATGACTGGCAACTAAACAAGAAACCATAGAAAATTCCCTAGGAAACGTTGCAAATTTTTCTATCTCTAGTCAAATTTCTATTTACAAATATAGGATCTTGATATTGCTTTGTGACATAAATGACACAATAAAACTAATATTAATTGCATGTACAGATATTAAAAGAAGTTGTTACATTTGCATCTTTATTTACATTATATTTTTCAGTAAGGAACAAGAGATCGAATTTATCTTTAACAATAATAACGATTATTATATAAAAGTAATAGTTTACTTAGATTGAAATTTAAATTACTTAGATCTTGTAAATGCAATGTTGATATTGTACAGAAAATCATATATCTCATTTTTAAAAACTAAGTTAATATATTAATATATTAATTTCCATTATATTTCTACTATATAATTACTTTCATATTCAATACACAACATGTATTCAGTTAATTTAAGCGTCGTTCTATAAGCAAAGTTACATATGTGATAAATTCATTTGCAAAAATAGTAAATTTAAACTTCATAAAAATATCTGTGGGGTAAACGGACATCCTACTAATGATGTTTCGGGCTATATAGTTTGATGGCACATGTATAACCCTTTTGAAACTTAAGTCATCTCGAATAAGAACATAACAAATGTATTTATGCTAGATTGATATTTTAAATTAGATTAACATTAAAACTTTGTAAACAGTAATAATAAACTAAACGTAAACTGATCTTTGACAGGTATTTCTATGATCATTGTTTATGAAATTTTGATGTAAAATGAATATCATTTGCTCTATATGTAGCGATCAATTAATACAGTCTGATAATATTTTCTATACGAGATGTGGACACGTATTTCATCTGCATTGTTTAACGTCATGGCTTGAAAGGTGAACAAATATTAAAAAATAATAGAACAGGAAATACCTTGTTAGAGAGTGTAAAAGTGTATAAACTTCCAAATTTATTTTTTTGCCATGACAATATTCATAATTGTAAGTTGTTACTTTCAGATCAAAAAGCTGTCCACAATGTAGGGAGAAAGTTACACAGAGTAAAATTCATAGGCTTTATTTTACATTTTCAAGCAATGACCTGACAGTTGAGACTCAAGGCTCGACATTGCAAGAAAAAGTAGACAGATTGAAATTTCAAATTTTGTTAAAGGAAAAGGACATCCAATATTATTCCTCAAAAAATGTCACTTTAGAAAAACAAAACGCTGGCTTAAAGCAAGAAGTTCGAAAAGTAGAGAGTGAGATTAACAAAAAAAATGCAGCCATACATGCTTTGAAGGAGCAAATAAATTATTTCAAAGAACAGAGTTCTCACTGTGATAATCTAAAGAGAGAAATTAGTCGGTTAAAAAATAAGATTGAAGACCTTAGGCCGTATGTAATTATTACATGTACATATATCATATATTTTATATTATTACCTATATCAATTTTTTGCATGTTTCAGAATACAAGTATTATTACATGCTCCTATCAGTGATGTTAGTAAAATGGTTGGAAAAACTAAAGATCCTCAAACACTTACTATGTATATTTCTATCATGAAAAAGTTAGTAATGTTCGAGAATATGTTTTAAAAATTATTATACTATTATTAACATACTATATTTGCAGAGAATTAATTGGAAGATTTAATAAATGTAAAAAATTACGCATGAGTGTCAAAAAGCTGCAAAAAGAACTTTCTAAAGTTAATACAAAATCTGATACCTCATTAGAACAGTTAAAACGAATGTAAGATTTTAAATATCTATTCAATGTGGTAATTTATGTGAATGGATATTATATACCAATATTATTATCACCTCAGGGACTTAGAAGAAAAGCTAGCATTTTCAGAGAACAAAAATATAGCATTACAAAAACGAGTTAATGAATTAGAAGAGATACTTGACATCAATGAGCAGAGTAATAGTAAATTAGAAATCCAAATAGCAGAAAATGTAAACAATATTTCTATAAAAAATCCAATTGAAACAACATCAAAAAAACACAGTCAAGACATCTCAAATAAAAATTCTATATCAAATTGCACTACTAAACAAAAAACTGAAAAGGTTTGAAATTGAATAGAATAATACTAATGAAAGAAATCAAAATCAATGGTTAATTACATTTATCATGTATTTCTTTTATAGATATGCAATGCTAAAACCATACAACAAAAAATACAGGATTGTCAAACAGATAATGATACAAGTGATTTAGAACTAGATTTAATGGATTGGAACTCCTCCAAGAATTCTTCGGTAGAGTCTAAGAGATTTAAATTGTCAGTAGATGATATAAACGTTTCACATACAAGTCATAACAATAAATCCTCAAATAGTTCTATATCAAAGAAAAGAAAAAGAAATAATACCAAAAAAAAGATATCTGACTTTGAAGACAAACACAATAGTAGTGTGATTGATCTTACCTAAGGAGTTCCTATAACTACTGCATATTTTTTTATATAAATCATTATTTATATTTTAAAAGTATATATAGTATTTTATCATTATAATTAATGGATCTTTTCTGAGTTTTAGAAAAATAAAATATTCTACTTTTATATTTTTTGGTCACTTATTTGATTTATGTTTAATATAGGAAAACATAGGGAAAGCAGTTCCAATAAATTTTGTACCATTATTTTGTAATATGTATGTCTGAACATAAAATTTAAATCCTCCAAAAGACAATTGACACCTTTTATTTGGTCTTGTAAAAAAACAAAGTGTATAAAGGGCTATTTCTAATTCTGGAGTGGTTCCAATGAACATGGATGACCTTTTACGTTTTCCAATATAAGTGAAATATATTTCTAAAATGACAGCTTTCTAAAATTGTTTTCAAGTGATTTAATGAATATTATTAGTTTATAATTTGCATTTCTACTTACATTAACAAATTCCTGACTATGGCCAAATCCAAAATAATTAATTTTCTTTAATAATTCTCCATGGGAAAAGAAAATCCAATTATGCAGCCCTATAATACCTTTACGTGGTTTTCTTTCTCCTATAAATACATGTTCAAATCCAGAAGTACCATTTATATTTTTACTCCGAGAATATAAATGAAACCAAATTTGTTTTAAAATATCTTTATAAACGCGTATGTCATTTTTAAAGAACCCTTTGACCGACAAAAAGTACATAACATGTGAAATTATATCTGTTTCCATTAAATTATCAATAAATTCATTCTCTTCTAGATCTTCTTCCCTTGTTATGACTTCTGGCTCATAAGTATCCAATTCATAATTATCAAATAACTTTACAAGAGATCTTATTGTTGGTATTAAAAATATTTTGGTCGATATATTTAACAACCTAAAGTTATAAAAACTAATTATGTTTGAAATTATTAACAAAAAATACCTTTAGAAATAGAAAATACCTTTGTGGAGCATTATCAGTAAAGTTTTTAAAGCTCATATTTCCTTGATAATTTATATACACATGGTTGAATAATTCATGAGAAGACATATTAAATAATTCTTCTGATACCATCATTAATTCTACATCACTTGTTAAAGACACGTTTGCAGCAGTACAAAAATCTATGAGACGAACAAATATACATAAAGATATATAAGATGAATAAATAATTAAATGTTGTTTTATTTCTGTTTTGTAATTACCGCCTATTTGATAAGTTGTGAAAGGACTTATGCCTGAAATATTTAATATAGCTAGGATGTAAACAGAAATTTGAAACATCTTATTTAACATTTTTCTAAAATAACATATTTTAGTTTTAAATAGTAAACAATATAGGTTATGTCAAATGTTTCCTCGTTATTTGAAAATCTTATATTTATTATGCATATTTCAATGTAAAATAAAGATCATATATACTGATAATTAAGATTTAAAAAATAAAAAGTGGAAGTTTCCACTTAATTTCAAATTGAATAATTGATCATTTTTATAATGTGTAATGACTATTATGTAATTTATTATACAAGAAAGTTGTACGAAAATTAAAAAATTTGTGTAAAAAACCTTAAATAAATAAAGGTATCTATTTTTAAGGTGTAAATCTTATAGTTCAAAGGTAAGTAAAACATAAGTAGAATATGATTAATATTAAAAAGAAAATTATTTTAAAATATTGATATAACATTAAAATTCAGTTAAAAAAATTTGTATTGTAATTTTCTAACGTTATACTTAAAAACTATATATATATATGCAATAATCACTGCAGGGTATCGAATATACGGAATACGAATTTTGTTTACAAATGGTTGACATTCATTTATGGTAGTGCGTTTTTAATCATAAAAATGTCAAATCGAATGGAATATATAATTTCGCCGTGGGAAATTGAATTATATATACAACATCTACAAATTTCGGAACTTGAAGATATTGGAACGAAAGGGTTAATTTTTCTTAAACATTACAAATATTTCTTACACAATATAGCTATAACTTAAGCATTATTTTCAGCTGGTTTGAATTTCATAAAAAGTTGATGTTATTAAATCAACAAAGCGTATTAGAAATTAGCGGCTTGCGAGAAGAAAGTACTAAGGAATGGTTTGTTTCTTTTAAAAAGGTAAATAAGATATATTTTAATAAAACATGCAACTATCTGTTATGTTAATATTACTTTCTTCCCGTATAGATTCCTGTCCTTATATACGAAGCTATACAAATTGATATATGGAAGCATAAAGTATTTCCACTTTTGATCGAAATAAATGAAGAACCAAAAAATACTTTTATGCTTTACACTGTATTTTATCACGAAGATATTGCCGTTTCACTATTAGAAAACGTGTTGTTTCATTGTGAAAGTGCAGAAACTATAAATGATTCTGCTCTTGACCTCGTCGATTATGCTGTTAAATCTGTATCTTTACTCCTCGATATGCCTGTCATCGAAATTTATGAAAATGTAAGAGACCCAAAGTAAGTGAACTGACACTCGAATTTTTATGTCATTTTAGTAAGAAAGTAATATTCCACATGCTGAGTAGTAATGGTAGTAATTGTTGCAATTAGCTCATGTCTTGAAGAAATATTTGAGAAAAAGAAAGAATTTGAATTTGATATTGGTATACGTTGCATTTCGATTCTCCGTTACTTGGCCGAATACGTAGATAGTTTACCATTGTGTGTATTATCGCGATTGTTAGCTACTCATGATGTGCCCTATTTACTTGCTCAACTCATTGAAAGGCATCCGTGGAAAAAGGAAAGTAAAGGTAACTATCATTACATAAGTATAAGAAAATTCAATAAAACTGTTTACTCTTCAGGTGAAAATATGATATATAACAGTGGTTGGAAAAAAGTGAAATCAGGTGAAGAAGGAAAAATTTCTAAAATAGAAGGACAAGTTTGGCTTGGTTTAAGGGAATTATTGCTTAATACAAAAAGTGCACCTTATTATGAAATTACTGATCATAGGTTTTCACAGTTATTAAAAGTATTTTAACATTATACATTGCATTATATGTTTAACATTATATGTGTTGTGTTCAAAGGAAAGAAATTATGTTTCGCATTAGTTACAGAAATATTTACACGAATGTGTACTGGATCAAATTTCACCTTTAATAGATCTAAAAAGATGGTTAAATTATTTAAGTATATCATCACCTAATGGTAATGCATTGCGAGCAATAAATGTGGAACTTATACCACAGGTTGAAAGTTATCCAATAAAATATTTGTTTAAATTTTTTAAAATATTAAGCAAATAACCAAATTGATATTTTACTAGATAAAATCGTCAATAATAGAGAAATATCATAAGAAGTGGAAAAAATTAGCAAAACATCAATCAAAATTTATATACACTACAGACGTTGATTATATTAAAAATGCTGCTCAAATTTTAAGCGATGCATATGATTTGGACAAACTGGATTGCATTGATGTTAAAGAATGCTCTTTATGTCATGAAGAAGCAAAAAAACGTTGTTCCAAATGTAAAGAAGTTTGGTACTGTGGAAGGTAAAGATTTTTTTCATATGTTTATAAAACAGTACTATTTTTTACTAAAACTATATCGGATCTATTATTCCAGGGAGTGTCAAGTAAAAGATTGGGTGAAGCATAAGAATATTTGTGACAAGATAACAAAAAGCATAGAATGTGAGAAAGACTAATTTCGAAATTTTTGTCTGGAAAAAGAATATTTGATTACATTTTCAGTATTTCTTCCTAGAAATAAAGAAATTAAAAATATAAAAGTATTGAAATTAATTCCCCTATTATACGAATATTAGGAATACTTAGGATTAAATAAATAATACGTACGAACTTATATTAAATATTTAATTAAAAGATCTTAATGTACAGAGCTTTGTTTCACATATTCCATTACCACATCTTTTGCAGGAGTGTCTTCTCCAAAGTCCTAAAAGTAAAAAAGAATCATTTAATAGAAAAAATTTTTAAAAAACAATTAAGTTACTAATATTACATTATTAAAATCAGGCAATTATTAGGCATTATTACATCATAATTTGTTAATTAAATGGGTTCTCTCAGTAGAGGGAGCCTTTGCTCTCATCACATAGTACCATTAAATTTGCAAATTGCATTTAATATTAAAAAGGTAGTTATATTTTTATATATAGTACAATTTATACCTTTACGACAACACAGGAGCACCCAACAACTTTTCGGGCTTTACCAGCGCAGTCAATTTTACATAAACCAGCCCATTCACCTAGTTTCTTATTATTGTCTACCCTGATAAAGGGGATCTGATGTTCATTGCACAATGCTTGTACTAGTTTCTTATACATAGGTTCGTCACAATTTTCTGCTAATATGCAAAGCATGGCTTGCCTCCTAGAATATAATAAAGGAAATGTAAACAAATATAATTTTAATATTACACAGGCTATAGAATAGAGTAATTTTTTAATATATCAAATAGGGTTATAGACAGCATTATTAAATTTTGTAACGGATTGCTTCTCAGTAGAAGGATCCTAATATATAGTCATATAATGACATATAAAGGTTTGCAAATTTGTTATTTCATGAAAATATATATAACTTATTTAAGTAAATCATCATAAAATAAACTCACTTGTCTAGTGCTTTGGCAGCTTCATGAAGACCATGTACGACACCATCATGAATAAGTGCATTTTTAAGAACTTCTTGAAGGGCTGTGTTTATATCCATTGCACCTCCTGCTGCCATTGCAGAAGGTACATCGTCACTAAGAACAAAAATATAATTACAGTCTATTTACTTAACTCTTCACACAAAATTTTTGACATAGGATTTTGTGGTTATATGATAACTTTATGCAAACAATTAATTTCAATAAACATCAATATTCAAAAAAAGTTTATGAAATAAGGGTAATAAATGTTTACTATCGTAACTTGATACTTTTACAATTTTAAATTAAGGTTTTTAATAAAAAAAACCTTCATATCAATATCTTTGTAACAAATATACAAAACACTTACTTCTCAACGTCTGACATATTTTTCAAGGACTAAGGAGCTGAAATAATAAAATCAAATTAATGATTCTGATTCTAGCTTCACGTTTTAAGATATTTCCACGTAAAAATTATGTTGATGGTATTATAATAAATTGATTTCTAAGTCATCGCCTTCCAGCGTGCTTCAACCTACCTTTTCTTACGAAGAAAGAGAAATGGAGTTTGAGTACGTTATATTCAGGTTACGTCTACGTTAGCTCTGATTGGCTGAGAAGGAAATATAAGTGACATCTATAGAATGTTTCCAAAAGTTCATAATTCGTCATTTTGCACTTTCGGTTGGAGAGAAAATAAATGTTCATACTTATGGTTCTAGTTGTAGATAAGTATGAGAATGGCAAAATCGTGCAATAATGAAATTAATTGTAATTTTTTATGTCAGACAGAAAAATAGATATAAACTTTTCCATAGAATCGTATAATTAAATAGGGTCTTGTAGCGTGGAACTCAGTAGGTTTTTATCTATACTAGTGTGCAACTAAACTCCATCCTTCCGGACCGCAATAATCCTAGGGAACTGTCATAAAACTAAGGATTTGTACTTTATTGTTAGGGCCCTTAATCGTTATTAAATATATTGTCTGTCTATGTCTACAAAGTTATTGGAATAAAGTATATATTGTAACCTGTTAATCCAGTGTTTTAATCAGTTCAACCATCTCTATTATCCTAAATGAAATAGGGGATCGATAAGTTCGTGACATCGATGATCTAATCGTAACGGGAATTTACGACTTCCATTGACGTGATCTATCACGAACGCGACTCCGCGCGAACACATAGGTTCTTGTATATACTAAATAGCAACCACACAGGGTATATCCCCAATTTTATAAATTCTTGTATATGCTAACGTTTGTTCCCTTCAGTACTTCTCCGCATGGTGTAGCACTAGTCCGGGAACAACCAAAACCATGACTGCGTGGGCACTGTCATTTCCTCTTTGTGTCGGTAATTCACGTTCCATTAAAGGTTTCATTTATTTTATTGTAGATGCCGTCCTATATCTCACCTATAATATAGAATGAAACTTGAATGCATTTTTTAAAAAAATGAGATGGATTATAGAAAAGAGTGAACAATTAAAATGTTTAGTTTTGTAGGGCTTTATTTTCCTAAGCTAACCGTTAAGCATCTTAACATTCATTAAATAAAAAATTATGCTTATAAACTGTACATTCCAACATTAAAGAAGTGCATATAAATACAATTCCTATCCAAAACTTCAGCAGAGACATTACTATTGCTTTATGTATACTTATCTAAATATCTTAATATATTTATATATACAGTAATTTTATTTTTCTCTACCAACAACTATACCTACAATAGTTTGATACTTAATTTATCTGTTGTACATACTTATTTTATAGTTAACATTTATATTATATATTACACTTAAAAAGAACCATTAATTACACGCGTATAATAGATCTATTAATAATTAATTATCGTTGAATGCTTAACAAAAAGTTTATATAACCTTTCCAAATTACGTTGGAAATTATCTATTCCTTTAAAATCTTTAAAATAGCAGTATAATTTACAATTGCTTTTATGCACTGGTATGCCTATTGCATATCCTACGCATGATCTAACTTAACAAAAAATTCTTCACGTTGTCACAAATGAAAAACAATGAATTCTTTATGTTACGTTGGTGGAGAGTATCTGTGGTAAGGCCAACAATAATGTGGCGGAGGTGGTGGTGGTGGTGGAGGCGGTGGTGGAGGTGCCGATGGATGTTGCGAACTCGATGGTCCTGTCGGATACAGATGATGAGTATGATGCGTATGATGAGGATGACAATTCGCGCCTGTACCTCGACTCGATTGAGATGCCTCCAACGTGACACCAGCTTGAGTCTGACAAGCCATCATCAATCCATGGAAGTCGAACTTGTACGCGTATCGTTTCCCGTGCACTTTCGTCATGATATTTTTGTCGTAGTAATATCTGCGAATCAAATACTTTTGAAATGTAATACAGTAATAAAATAACGAATCATATAGATAGGTAATAGTGAATAATGGTAATAGCGATAAAAACTGTAAGGTAAGTTAATTCTTTTTCATGTAATCATGGGACACACCTTCCCTTCAATAGGGAAGGTAGGACACACGAATTCCTTTCACTGAACGAACTTAAGTACCTATCATATTTCAAATTATATATGTAGATTGCTGTAGGTATTGTAGGTTGACCAACAATAAACGAGATACGAGCTATGTAAATAGAATAGGGTGTTAGTATTAACACCATTACTACATGATTTATTGGTTAACGGCTTATAACTCTAACTATAACGGATTATAACTCTAAAAGTAAAATAGAAAATATTAAAGATGAAGTAATGGAGAGCAAATGGAGTAGCTATTTTGCTCCGCTAAATGTATAGGCAGCTTTTCATATCTACTGCATGTAAATGTAAATATATTTAATACTTTATCTACCGGAAGCCTACTAATAGGCTTTTCGATGCTAACGCTTATCGGCCGATAACCTATTCATCGGTTTTTCGATGCCAACACTTACCGACTGGAAGCTTTTATATTTTATATTCGCTTGTTAGTAACTGTATAATAACTCGTTCATATCCTTGCAAATTTAAAAAATTTTTATCGTTTACCATGGATCAAGATAAATGAAGATGAAGAGTTTTGCTTAGATAATCTGTCAGATTGTGGCGTAGTTATTTGAAAGTATTATACATATATTGGTTTATAAATAGTTATATTACATAAGATAAATATAATAATGCTATCGTGACAATTATAAACGATAATAAAATTACACTGCTTTGAAACAAAAGAAATTAGAATGACATAACGAGTAAACCCTCACGTTTTGATTTTAATGTTATAGAGTTTTACAAATAGGCACGTATATGCTTCGCGAAAGCTAAGACACTAGCGACGTGTCCATGCCCAACTAAGTTGATCGTTAGTAAATGGCAACTTCAATGGTAAGCGATAGGTAAAGTGTTAATATCTACACCGTAGTAAGTACTTATATAAACATTTAATACACTTCAAACATACATATGAACATACTTGTAACAAAAAAAAAAAAAATAAGAAATCAGAAAACTCGTGAATAAAATTTCCATTTGATTTAAGAAAGTCACGAAGGTAAATGAAACTTCAGATTTCTGTTTACCTGAGTGCTCGCGATAATTTGTCGTAGTTCATGTTCGGTTTGCTCTTCCGTTCGCCCCATCGACGCGCAACTTCGTCCGGATCGGTAAGTTTGAACTCGCCGTTCGAACCCTCCCACGCGATACAGGATGAATTGGACGAATCCGAGAGCAGCTCCAGCAGGAATTGCCAGAGTTGAACCTGTCCGCCTCCGACCGCCCCGGAACCCACAGCTCCAGCTGTCGATCCAATCAGGGAGCAAGTTCGTTGGAGGAGGCTGAACCTCTCTGCGGGCAAGAAGCAGAAACACGCATGCACCAACAGGCCGTGATTTCCTCGAGGTCGATTCGTCGAAACCTTGAGAGTATAGCGATGGTTGCGATCATCCACTGCCTGTTATCTCTCCTCTCTTCTTTTATGTATTTAATTTATTTCATGTTTGTTTCAACAGTGCTTTTCTTTGTGAATCTAACCGAAGTTGGGATTTGAAATTGTAGTGCACGAAAAAGAAGAAAT